GGGAGAAAGCGACGTCGGCCACAGGGCTTTGCTAGACCCGGCGTTTCTCCGAGATTTCTGTGACCCCTGCTGACCTCGGCCTGGGGTACGTGATGCGGCTCTTCTCTTGGCATTTCCTTCATCCTGATTTTATATTTTCAGCGCACGCTCAGCCCTCCACAAAGTAACCGTTCCCCATCACGGCCCATGTGCCCGCTGAAACAAGGGCATCGGGCGATATTAAGTCAGTCAGGGCATGGTTTAATATCAAAGACGGACCCCGTGGGGACAGGGCCGGCTAATGGGCGGGGAACACGGGGGGCAGGACGGGACCCATCGCTGCCAGGGGCTGAGCGCACATTGCCCAGGGCAGCCCCACCCAATACCCGGGGGAAGAGTCGACCTCAGGGGGCATTTCAGACTCCTCCTCTCCCCCCTCCCTGGGAGCGGCCGTGGGGCTGGGCCCCCCCGGCAGGGGCCCCAGCAGCAGGAGACGGGCCGCCCCGAGGGAAATGGAGCCACGTCCCAGCTCCTACCACGGCAACCAGCCCCCGGGGGCTCCGGCTCGAGGGGCCGGGCCAGGACTCACCTGCCAGCGCGGGGCTGCAGACCAGGCAGCCGAGGAGGCAGAGGGTGACAAAGGCGACTGGCCCCATCTTCTCGCTGCCCCTGGGGAGAAAACACACAGGGGAGATGGGCCAGGAGAGTTGGAGACACCCCCAGGAGCACCCCTCCCCCTCCTCGGGCAGTTCATAGGGGCACTCGCTGTGCCCTTGTCCAGATGAATGATGAAGATATTGAGAAGATATTGAACTATCTGATCCCAGCAGAGCCCCACCTGTTATGCCGGGCTGGGGAACCTCTTTTGGGTCAGGGGCTGCTGACCCACAGAAAAATCAGCTGGGTGGGAGGCAGTAGGAGCTGGAGAGCCAACCTGGGATCTCCAACGCTAAGGGGGAGGAGTCCTGAGATCTGGGGGCCAGGGCCAGGCAAACTGGAGACCAGATGTGGAGAAATTGGAAAGGGTACAGAGAAGAGCGACAAGAATGATTAAAGGTCTAGAGAACATGACCTATGAAGCCAGGCTTCATGAACTGGGCTTGTTTAGTTTGGAAAAAAGAAGATTAAGGGGGGACATGATAGCGGTTTTCAAATATCTAAAAGGGTGTCACAAGGAGGAAGGCGAAAATTTGTTCCTCTTGGTTTCTGAGGACAGGACAAGGAGTAATGGGCTTAAAGTGCAGCAGGGGAGGTTTAGATTGGACATTAGGAAAAAATTCCTAACTGTCAGGGTGGTCAAATATTGGAATAAATTGCCAAGGGAGGTGGTGGAATCTCCCTCTCTGGAGATATTTAAGAACAGGTTAGATAGACATCTGTCAGGGATGGTGTAGACGGAGCTTGATCCTGCCTTGAGGGCGGGGGGCTGGACTCGATGACCTCTCGAGGTCCCTTCCAGTCCTATTATTCTATGATTCTATGATCTGGACCCTGGGTCTTCGCTTCCCCAGGCCTGTTCTGTGCCCGTCCAGTATGACTGTGAACCATTGGTAACTTCCGAGAGAAGGGTTTTCCGACTAGCTAGTCACCCACTTAACAGGAGCCTCCTCTAGGTTGGAATTCCCCAGTTTATTGCTAGGAAGGTCATGCGAGGCCGTATGAAATGTTATAGCACAATCTAGGTTTACCGCATCTACCACTTCCCCCTTATCCACAAGGCTTGTTATCTAATCAGAGAAAGTTACCAGGTTGCTTTGACATGATTTGGTCTTTACAAATCCATTTTGGCTGACACCTATCCCCTTGTTATCTACCAGATGTTTGCAGTTGGATTCCTTAATTCTTTGGTCTATTGTCTTTCCTGGCACAGAAGTTAAGCTGACTGGTCTGTTGTTTCCTGAGTTGTTCTTATTTCCCTTTTGATAGATGGGCCCTAGATTTGTCCTTTTCCTGTCTTCTGGAATCTCTCCTGACTTCCATGACTTTGCAAAGATGGTAGCTAATGACTCAGATACCTCCTCAGTTACCCCCCTTGTGTATTCTAGGGTGCATTTCACCAGACCCTCGTGGCTTGAAGACATCCAACTTATCTAAGGGTCTGTCTACTCTACAAAGTTAATTCGAACTAACAGACGTTAGTTAGAATTAACTTTGATAGGCGCTACACATAGAAACCGCTAGTTCGAACTTAATTCAAACTAGCGGAGCACTTAATTCGAACTAGGTAAACCTCATTCCACGAGGACTAATGCCTAGTTCGAATTAAGTAGTTCGAATTAAGGGCTGTGTAGCCCCTTAATTCGAACTAGTGGGAGGCTAGCCCTCCCCAGCTTGCCCTGGTGGCCACTCTGGGC